AAATATTTCACATAAACAATACTATGAGCATATTTATTGTGGCATCTGCATAAGCTTGTATAAGCTTGAACAGTCAAACAAATTGTTTATACAGTAAGATCACTGTTATTATCACAATCACTAAACGCTGCTGAGAGCTAGACGCTCATGGAGCGTGAAGTCGGACTAGCTATAGACAGGATATTACATGATGCGCGTATAGGAGAACGAGTGAAAGGTTTTAAACGCGATAAGATTATGATGTTTTAGTATTACCATACTAGTGGACTATTGCAAATCCTTCGTTCTGATTGGCTACGCTACTTGGGGTCTATTTTCAATAGTCCTCGACTAGCGAAAAGCGACAACTTTTTGCATATTTTTAGCAATAAAATCATTTAATTATTTATTATATTTTGTCCAACTAGTATGGTAATACTAAAACAATTGGATCTCTCGGCCTTCAGCTCTTAGTCAACTCACCCTCGAGATCTAATTGTTAAGTATTCTGTCTAATATTCTGTGTTCCAGGGGTGTTGCGAAGTGTTCCAGGGTGTTCCAGTGGTGTTCCTTGTTTTACAGACACCCGAAAGCAAGAGTCCTTTACACTTTAGGTCAATATTTATCTCAGGCTATATTTCCAGGTTTTTACACATCAGTAATTAACCTGAAAATGGCAGACATCGTAGTCAATGATATCAATATCCAACCACACCGAAAAGTTCTTATCCTAGGAGCGGGTCTGTCTGGAATTGTTGCTGGAAAAACGTTACTGGATAATGGTATTGACGATTTCTTGATTCTTGAGGGTCAGGATTATACTGGAGGCAGAATAAAACAGGTATGGACACAGTTTTTTTATATAGAGCAAACGCAGGAAAACCACGAAATATAAATTCAAATTAAATACTAACAAATAGAGTCTATTCAGAGACAATTTGTCAGTATCAATGAACCAGAACACAATTAAGATAGTCCACATGGCACCATTTGTCATTCATCTTTATTGCCTTCTGGTTCATCGATACTGACAATTTATCTCTAAATAGCTGCTATTTGTTAAGTATTTAGTTTGATTTTAGAGTCATTTTCATCCGTCTGTGAAATAAGGAATTGTACTATTAAATAATAAAAATTGTTTTGATTTTGCCTTTTGGTAGCCCACTACACCCAAATTGTTACTATTCAACACTGACTAGAAGTAATGGTTTCACAGACGGATGAAAATGACTCTATTTCATGGTTTTCCTGTGTTTGCTCTATTTACTTACCACTAGTTTATTTATTTATTTTTTCATTTTACTTTTCATTTGTGCATTTAGAGATCTTTTGGTGAGTATAACATTGAAGAAGGTGCAAATTGGATTCAATTCGCTGAAGATAAAGACACAGAACCAATATGGAAACAAAAACTAGAAAAAGAAATCGCAGGTGTATGGACCAATTACTTTGACTTGATTATTAGGTAAGAGTTAAGAACTGCGCAATATTGATCAGTGGGAGAGGGAAGGGGGGGGTTAGAATCCAGAGGGGGATCGGAATCTAATTCTGTGCTTAAAGAGGGGGGCAACGTCTAAAATAAACTAGAACTTTAATTGGAAACTGAAAACAAGAAAAGCGTGCCACAACTCTTTGTTCAAGAATTATAAATAAATATATTCTCTCAGTGAGTCATTGTTATCTGTACAATGTCACTCATTTTAACAGACCTCGCAGCACCACCAACCCTCTGATAATGATAGTGATGAATAAAATATCAGTCAGTTATATAATCGCGCATTTCAGCAAATGTTTGGTCGTCAGCTATAAAAAGACGAGGGAGATTCTGGGTTGATGCTKGGTTGAACCGGTTGATTGCGGTTCGTTCTGGGTCACCGGCCAATTGTTCCAAATCGGAAATTTCTCTACGCTCATTCGTGATAAAAATTCAAAGATAAAATCCGTATCACCGCGCGCCCCCTATGTAATATCCTCTATTTTCTCACATAGAAATGAGGTTGGAAAGGATATCACTGCAACTGAAGACATTGAAAARTGGCAGAGATTAAAGCAACTATGCACCTCAATGAAAAAAGATGTCAAAAAAAAAGATATCAGTGCTCGTARTGCTTTGAAATCCTTTGGATGGGAACCATGCACCCCAGCCCAGTGGGCGCTGGATTATTTGTTCACATGGTATGAATGTGGTCGTAGTGCAGAAACTGTTAAGGCRGAGGGCCTATTCGTGCCCGATAAGGAGTTCTTTGTCACAGATCAACGTGGTTTTATATCATTGTTTAAAGATTTTATCTCTGAAATTGAATCCAAGATTAGGTTGAGTAAGAAAGTTGAGAAAATCGTTTATAGTTCAATGCAAGTCGAGGTTAGTATTATATAAAATATATTGGTTCTTTAATCATCAGTTGTATTTTTCTCCTTTTTAGTGGTCTCTATTCAGCTTATACTTAGACTTCTTCACTGTTCCTTRCACCATCTTGAAGGAAGCCGTTCCTTTGTATTAAAGCGAGAGGACCGTTGAGCGTGCAATGATAGAAACCTTCTTTCACACCTACAGGCAATTATTCACAGGTTTCTATCATTGCACACTCAACGGTTGTCTCGCTTCGATGTAAAGACAAGGCTATCCTTTCAAGATGGCGCAGGGAACCGTTAAAAGRCCATTGCTTCTTGATATTACTAAACTATTCACCAAAAAACGTCGAGTACTKCATGGATGCTGTCATACCAAGGGCGGATCCAGGGAGGGGCACACGGTTGCAATAGCCCCTACTCTTATATTATTTTTTGAAATTGTTTCAAAGAAATAAAGCCCATCTCCAACCCCCTAAAAGCGGTTTATATATATATTAGCCCCCCTTAAAACCATTTAGCCACCCCTAAAAATTTCATCTGGATCCGCCCTTGCATACTGGAACTGGAGAGCTTTCCATCAACGGGTAAAGAACAGGYATAGTCACACATCCATACAGAATGTTGAATACCTTTTGTCATTTCYTCACTATAACACACCTGACTATTGACCATTTCGCAAGAACGGAAAGTGAAAATTTTCGCAAGTCACATGGCAATTGGTTTGTCGACAAGATCGRCTGTTATTAACTATTTGTTTGTAATTAAGGTGACAACGAGCGATGGAGAGGTTTACTCCGCTGATTACGCGCTATGCACCTTTAGCACAGGAGTTCTTGCCAGTAACATGGTGAAATTTCTTCCACCATTACCAAAATGGAAGCAAGAATCAATATTGCAAAGCCCTATGGTTGTTTACACCAAGATCTTTTTAAAGTTTCCTGAGAAATTTTGGGACGATAAAGAATATATTTTGTTAGCCAATGAAGCACGCAACGTCTTCACTACTCTTCAAGTGAGTGAATTCAAATTCAAGTTGTGTCTCTCCTATTGACGTCATGATACTCGTCTTGTTGGAATGGACACGTATTTTTGCAAATACGCAAACCGCTTCCCTTCTTTTCTAGATTCGTATTTTTGCATTTTAACTCTTTGGCTTCGTAAAGCTATGAAATCTAAAGCAAGAATTGTCAAAAATACAATGAAAAACATTAGAAAAGACAAAAAAAGGCTCCGGAATCAGGGCACGACCCGCTATGATCTGGCTTCGAAAAACTGAAGTCTGAAATTAAAAGAAAGAATTATATCGACAAAAATAAATCCATAGAACGCCTTGGCGCTATTAGTCAAATCGATCCTTTTGCTTGGTGGTGAGACTGYAGATGATCCAATGGATGAAAGACGTCTTGCCGGACTGAGCCTGAGAATTYTTTTAATCAATTTTTTCAGAATTTAGAAAGTCCTGGCAAGTTTCCCAAGGGTAGTGCGATGCTCTTAATGACAGTAACAGAAAATGAAGGAAGAAGAATTGAAAAACAATCTTTTCAAGAAACTGAAGAAGAGATTGTGAAAATGTTGAGAGGAGTTTATGGACCTAATGTACCAGAACCAACAGGTGACGATAGAATAGTTTTTGCCTTCTTTGACGTCTCGTCTTCCTCTACTTCTCCCCGCCAGTCCTACGCGTCCGGACTCAACTCTTTACCTCGGCCTTTCTAGCTTTCTATCTTTCTCTTCGCTTTACCCCAGACTAGTAATACTCTTCCTCGCTGTTCCCTTTCATTTTTCTTCCTTTTTCCCTTCTATCATATTACAAAAATTGAAATTGAATGCGAAGTGAACTTTTTGTCCATCATATTGCCAGAACAATGCCACGCTAAATATGGGACACCCAAGCCTGTGTAGTGGCCCTAAAGGATGTGGGGGAGGGCCGATCAGAATCTGAAAACAAACTTTTTATACAATGATAATGAACCTTGAATTGGATAAATTGACAAAACCAACACTAAATTACATTGAAGTTTAAGAATATTTCTTTTTGCCTCTTATTTCAGGTATTGAATTTAGTACAAAAGTTTTTATTTTAACATTTTTATATGACAAAATACATGTGCACCCCTCATAGTAATATCCTGGTGCTGCAATACCTATATATATATATATATGGTTTTATATCTGTTTTCAGAAATTTTCTATCCACGGTGGTCAACCAATCCATTCATACGTGGTGCATATTCTGAACCCTTAGTGGGTCGAACAGATCAACAAGCTGAAGATCTCAGTAAAAATGTAGAAAATTTGTACTTCGCTGGCGAAGCAACATCAGAATGGCACGGGTATATACAGGGTGCTTATTTAAGTGGAGAAGAAAAGGCGAAAATAATAGCAAAAGTAATCAAAAGTAATGATAATATAAAAATATTATATAAATGAMTAAAATGAACAATAACGAATAAATGATGGGGAAAGATTATACACAGAATAATATATTAAATCATTAATAAAAAAATATAAAAAATATTCCACTGCAAAATTGGAATATATTGAAGCCTAATGATATTTATTTGAAAAAAATATTTATTTGGATGAAAAATAATTAAACGATCAATGAACCAAGCATTTAGTTAAATTGATAATATGACAGAGGTGATYTTGTTTGGCAAKACAACTGCACTTTTAAGGCACTTGAGATTTTTGCAGCGCGATTGTCGGTTTGTTCTCGCGCACCTCAAATCGTACGTGTAAACAGCACTCCGATTGTCGMGGCGATCGAAAATTTCAGKAGTTTTCTGTACTATKYAATTCTATTCTWTTCTTATCTATTCTATTATTTTTCAGTTTATTCCATCCTATTCTTATACGTCTATTTTCCATTCTATTTTTGGAACGCTTCTTTTTAGAGTGACMTAAACTGATTACGTCATCACTTAGCAACAACAGAGACCGGCTATACCAGCGAATCATTTCCGGTTAGCGTGTTACTCAATATCGCGAAAGCTTTCGAACTGAAAATAGATATATATTGTAAATATTCTTTATATTCTGTAATAGTCATCAGGATATGAACATAAGTCACTATCCAAGGTAAGCAAAATCCATTTCTTTTGATCTCTGTGATTTTTAACGGTTATTTAACGGAGAATTTTTGAAGGACCTTGAAGTTGTTCGTCGTTTCGACCGTCCATGTTCCGCTTTACCGCACGTGGGTCGTTCGAGAGATGTATTCCTCGCTTACAACGAATCGTATCAGTGAATCTTTCGTTTTCTTTGAAAATATAGATAAGTTATAGTACATTAAGGATGGGAATATTTACGTACGGCTTGTAAAATCCCTTAAGGCCAACAATTATTCGTCACSATGAATCAAACTCACGTTTTACGTTGCTATAAAAACACTTCAATATTTATGTGAAAAAATCGATTTAAAGAAGAAATGGTTAAAGTTCTCGAGTTATAAATGTATAAATAATAAAAATAGCTATTTCTTATAGGACTATTCGTGGTCTTCACTAGTATTCGAATCGCGATCGACACGTGTATGTTCAAACAAAATTATTCGAACACACGTGGACTTACCATTGGAACAATCAATGCCATTTATTACGATCATCTACACTTCATTTCATTGTTCAATGATTTGATTTTTTTGATTTTTTTTCTTTTTTTTTGTCTTTTTAATATCATGTTCTTGAGAACTCGAATTTAAAATTCTATTGACCGCAAAATAGTTGGGCTATGACGTAGTTCATGTTTACAAAACGAACCTGTCCGGTGACGCGTCACATGAATTGAAAACAGCGAAAAATAAAAAAAATCAGAATTATTGACATTTTAACAGTGTTATTATTAAACCTGCTGCTTATAATAAAAATTTATCTTGTATCTGACTGACAGGGCACAACAATCCCACCGAAAAGTACTTATCCTAGGCGCTGGTCTGTCTGGAATTGTTGCTGGAAAAACCTTGCTGGACAATGGTATTGACGATTTCTTGATTCTTGAGGGTCAGGATTAYATTGGAGGTAGAATAAAACAGGTATGGTGTTCTGTCATTTTTTTTTTCTGGGCTCCCTGTGTCTGTGGAGGATGGGGGGAGGGGACAGAAGATCATCATTTGCTATTCCCATGCCCCATTGATCTAAGCGCGACAGGAATCCCAAATATAATTCAGTATACAGTGAAATCCCGTCTTATGGCCAATCGCTTAAAGAATCCCAACCAACCACAATACAGCGCGCGCTCGTGTTATTGTTTACATACGTTTAAATGCGACAAGCATACAATAGATTATAGATTGGTAGCTAGTACCTGCATGTGAGGTGACTTACGGTGCTTTCGATTTAGGCAGAACTGGCCGGCCAGTCCATTCTATTTAGAGGTATATAATGCTTTTTGTCAACATTTTTCAGTCATTTCGAGGTTTTCTGTAGAATAGAGTGCACGTCACATAAGCATGAAACAATTCTTAACTAATTAGCGCCTAATAAGATTTAGTTATCAACTAACTAAGAGTTTAGTGAGGCATAAACAAAGACAAGTTTCCTTTCTGGCATTGTGTTCATGCCCCAGTGAATTSTTAGTTABTTGWTAMCTAAATCTTATYAGGCGCTAATTAGTTAAGAATTGTTTCATGCTTATGTGACGTGCACTCTATGGATAAAAGATTTAAAAATTTGAATTTCCTAACTAAATGGGAATGATTTATAATGACATTTTCTCTGGGTCTAGCCAGCTAGTTCTGACAAATGGAAAGCACACTTATTCTGTCCAACTTGAAAAGATGGAAGACGATTCGCGCTCACTTTAAGAAATCCTACGAATCCGACATTTTTGTGTCCACCTGAAATGGCGCTTCGGACCGCAATGTACAGCGGTTGGTTGTGATTCTTTCAGTCGGCACTCTATTATAACGGTCAAATTTCTATGTCCAGGCGAATTGAACCGTCATACTTTTCTGCCYGGTAAAAACAACCCACCTGTCAGATAATACGGACACTTTTCGAAGTCCCTTTCGTGGCCGTAATAACGGAGTTCCACTTTAACCGTATTGGCTTTATTTATAGGGAACTTTTAGTGGATTTAACATTGAGGAAGGAGCGAATTGGATTCATAGTGCTGAAGACGAAGAAACAAAACCAATTTGGAGATTAAAAGGGGATGAAAATATTTCTGGAGAATGGACGAATTACTTTGACTTCATTATAAGGTGATGTATTATTCTGTCTTAGCCTCCTTCGCAGGCTACTCCATCGGAAACGGACATTTTTCTCTTTTTTGGTCTTCCTGTGTTCATATTTTTGACCGAGAAGAACTGGTGTCGAGAGATTAGGAATAACTCCTGCTTTTCCTTCCTTCCTAGCCCCTCCCCCTCCGGCAGCTTTTTTGCCTTAACACAGGAATCCCACGGAGTAGAGTTGCCTGCGAAGGAGGCTAATTCTGTCTACTGTCTCTCTTGAATTTATCATAAATTTCTCTGATTCTATATTTAATTTACTCAAGAAGAATACAATTTTAATTAAAGTACTTCTGGCTATAGCCCTCTTTCGATACCATGGTTGACTAGCAACCACACAAAAGAATTGAAGACGAGGCTCAGGGAACAATAGATAATCSTTTTGTTTCTCMCGAGCCTCGTCCTGAGTTCTGCAATATCGAAAGTTGACTATTGCATTGAACTCTGCACATGTACGATTCGAAATTTGAAACTGTTTTCTGTATTAGAACATATCAATGCAGCCCCGTTTCAAACACCGAAGCTCACATGTGTCGACTGCATGCAATGCAATCTTTTATTTCTGGTTTTTATCATCTCATTAGCATTGATTGACACATGCCGGTTTAACTTGGTCCTAMTTCATAAGCCGATTCTTACTTCAACCGTATTCAATGCAAATTACTCCRATCTTTTGATTTTGATCGTTATCATCTCATTAGCATTGATTGACACATGTCAAACTTGACTTGGTCCCATCTCATGTGCCGAATCTTACTTCTACCCCATTCAATGCAAAATACTCAATCTTTTGATTCTTCATTATAATCTTTCTTGCATTGACTTCGGCACATGTGATATTCCACAAATGAGAAGTCTAATGAAACTCAACCTTTTTCTACTTTTATCTCAGAAATGAAAGAGGTGAAGACGTCACAAAGACGGAGGACATTCACAATTTACAGCAATGTTTGAATCAAATAAACGTTGACGACGACCAAGGGGATGTATCAGCGCGTGATGGTTTACGGAACTTGGGCTGGGACCCGTCGACSCCTGCACAAATGGCCCTGGACTACCTATTCACAAACTATGAATATGGTCGAAATCCAGAAAACTTCTCGTTTGAAGACTTTTATATACCGAATAATGAGTTCTTTATAACGGATCAACGTGGGGTGATGGCTGTGTTTAGTAGTTTATTGTCAAAGGTTGAATCGAAGATCARGCTGAAGAAAGGAGTCGAAAAGATTGCGTATAGTTCTACAAGCGTTGAGGTATGGATACTCTTTCCGGAAAGGATTRCGTCTTCGCGTTTCGCCAAAGGACTATTATCCTTCACGAGTTTGTAAGGTTTCTTGTGATTGGAGGAATAAAACAATGCTCATTGTTTCCTTGTTCTTAAATCCTATTGTTTTCTTGTATTTAGCAAATAGCTAGTAAACCAATCGGATAAGATCTTGCACAAAAGATGGCGATTCTTCATACGTTAAAACATCGCGAAAAGGTTCTCATGACTTTAATCGTCTCTTTTTTCTTTAACAGGTAACCACTTCAGATGGAGATGTGTACACATCGGACTACGTGATTTGTACATTCAGTACAGGAGTTCTTGCCAGCAACATGGTGAAATTTCTTCCACCATTACCAAAGTGGAAGCAGGACGCAATATCACAAGCCCCTATGACAGTTTATACCAAGATCTTTTTAAAATTTGATGAGAAATTCTGGGATAACAACGAATATATGTTACTGGCAAGTAAAAAACGAGGATTTTATCCCGTGTTTCAAGTAAGTAACAAGGGACTGCACAATATTTATCAGGAGGGGTGGGGAGGGGTTTGAGAAATGGGCCAAAAAATACCCTCCCTCGCAAACGAAATAAATTAAGACGTCAAATTTTAATAGTGTCGACCATAAAATCCCAATCCCCTTTCGGTCTCTTTGTTTTCCAATATGGCGGAAAACATGTTATTTTCACTAGTGAAAATATCAATTTTACGAAATGGAGAAATATAGGTATTTCATAGATAATTATATGATAAATTGTTGCTTTTGTTTCTATGTCAGTATTACACTTTTTTCATTTGCTTTTGTTTCATGGGTTTAAAGTCCTCCGTTTATGATGGGAACCGATCTATTTTCTTCTCCGAGCATGACTAATTCGTTCAAATAAAATGTTGCTTACTTGTTCAGAATTTAGAAAGTCCTGGCAAGTTTCCCAAGGGTAGYGGGATGCTGTTAATTACAGTAACAGAAGATGAAGGAAGAAGAATTGAAAAACAATCTTTTGAAGAAACTAAAGAAGAGATTGTGAAAATGTTGAGAGGAGTTTATGGACCTGATGTACCAGAACCGACAGGTGACATATCATCTTTTTTTTTTTCATTCTGATTAAATCATCCTGATTCTTTCTTTAACGTCCTTGTACTCGTTTCTTACTTTTCATCTTCGCTCTTCCTTCTCTTCGTTTTTGTTGTTGTTGTTGTTGTTGTTGTTCTTTTTTTCTGTTCTTTTACTCTTGCTGTTGCTTTTATTTGATTTTCTTTTTTCTCTTTCATCGTCTTCAGCTCACTCTTCCTTACACTATTTCTTAAATTCTCCTCGTTCTATCTCATTAATACATTATTTCAACTTTTCTTCATGGTTGATATCCTTCTCTTAGCCTTAGTTTCTGATCTTGCCCTCCCCAACARTTTKTACTTCATAGTATTAATGATTAATAATAATTAATTCTCTGTTTTYAGACATTTTCTATCCACGGTGGTCAACYAATCCATTCATACGTGGTGCATWTTCTGAACCCTTAGTGGGYCGAACAGATCAACAAGCTGAAGATCTCAGTAAAAATGTAGAAAATTTGTACTTCGCTGGCGAAGCAACATCAGAATGGCACGGGTATATGCAGGGTGCTTATTTAAGTGGAGAAGAAAAGGCGAAAATAATAGCAAAATTAATACAATGTACAGATAGCGATTTTCTGTGTTTGCAAACAATTTTAAATTCGAATCTAATGAACTGAATCGATTTATCAAACCAGAGTAGAAATATTTTGCGATTCAATATTTATTAGATATTGTTATTATTTTATTGAAGATTTTATCAAATTGAGTCTATAAAATAAATATATTTTGAATATCGCATTGATTTTATTAATGTCATATCACATGGTACGTGTCAGGGTGTAAGAAAGATCGTGGAATGACGATTGGACATTGGCAGGCTTTCAGTCCTGGACTTTTTTGTGTCGTGTAAGCTATGTGGATTGTTCTCATAGTGAACATAAAGCCAAGAAGGACACTTTGAATAAATAAAAGTATGTCCTGGAAACACTGGAAACAGATTTACAAGTTATTTCCCGAGTATTCCTTCCTGCAAGACAATGTCTTCCTGCAAGGCTTTCTTGTCAAGAAGTCAACATCACAGTTCTCGGCACGCCATTCCCGGACCGAACTACAGTACACCCTAATGTAAGACAATTCACTCTTTCCCAAAAAGCCGGTATTTTTGTCAGGCTAAGGCTTTGACGATGTAAAGTGTGGGAGTAGATTCCACTCTTACTAATCGTCTGAGTAAAGACTACCATGTACCATTCTGGTCTTCTTCGATGGATTATTTTTCATATTCTCATTTCAGTGATGATATTTCGTGCTGCGCATGTTTATCAAGCTCGATGTGAAAACCATTAGCATCGAAATGGTAATCCCTAAAATAGATAGAACATTCRTAGCCTATTTTTTTATTGATGTCCGATAACGACTTTATCTTGGAGCTAATGACGTGAGCTAATCCTTTTAATGATACATWGAGGTAGGAAAGAAATAACCGCTAAGTTTAGACGCATAGGGCTTATGCAAACACATATTATTTTTATTTGGCAATACTACCAAACTATAGAAAAGTATATAAACTAATTTGACTCAAAGTTATGTGCAAGAAAGGTATTTATTCTTTATTATTTTTAGCAACCTCCAAAAATACATAAAATATGAGGAGAAGAGAAAAGGTATTCTTTTAAAAATTCCAAAGATTTTTTTAATTTGCCTGAATATTATACCTATAATTGAAGTTACCCAGTCCAAGAGCATAGAGTGAGAGCATAMGAGAACTAGTCGGGGTTTTGTTTAGATAGACGATAAAACAGTTCATTGCATTTATTGTTGAAATTATATAAAAGAGCACTCCATTAGCAAAGATTAATAATCTTTCCTTTATCAGAATAATTTATTATAGAGGACTGTTGTTGCATTGAAACGGCTGACATACATCCAATATATCTAATGCGTCAAGCTATATTCTGTCAATGTAGTTTCATATGCTGTAGGAAAATCACTCCAACTCCTGTACGAAATCGGTYCCCTAGAAAACGAAGACCTAGAAAACGAARACCGAAGACCCTGAAAAACGAAGACCCCCGTCAATTCTCGGGAAAACAGTGTCAAACATSTTTATACTTCTGRCAATTGTTTAGTCCTAATGTGTCAGATCATTTYATAATATTTTATTGAGAAATCATAGGGGGTCTTCGCTTTCCRRATCTGKAAAACGAAGACCCCGGCCAAATTTCGTTATAACTTCCATACGGCGTGAATATTGCCTTAATCGAAGACGTCTATCGTAATATGCTCTGTAGACATCATTATTCATTTTGTTTCGACTAATTAGCCGAGGGTCTTCGTTAACGAAGATGGCCCAAGAGAATTTAACTTTAACACTATACGACAATGATATTGCAAAACTCTATCAATATCCCGACCATCAAGTCTGTTCTGTCGCAACGTCTGAAATTGAAGATCACATATTCTTCGTGTGCATGTGATGTCATAGTCACGCAAAAAATCTCGCAAAATCCAAAATATTTTTGCTAAAGAGCTGTTCTTACAGTATATCTTAAATATATTTCTAGATAGTGTGTATGGAAATTTTCAGACGAATTCAACGCTTTGGTGGCGAATCACAAAAGTTTTAGTTTGTGCGGAGTTTAATTTATTCTACTTTTAGATCGTAAACAAAAACTTCGAAATTGGATAAATCATTCTTTCAACTCCGTAAGAACGTACTTAAGGTGATTTTTCTTTGAAATAAAGCCATAATTGAACAAAATTTACAAAGGAAATCAAGGAAACCAGAGTTTTTGAAGTCAATTTGAAACCAGCCGCCATCTTGGATGATCAAAGTTATCATCCAAGATGGCGTCCCCATACAAATTAACCAAATATTTCAAATCTTTATTCGCTGATATCTTCATCAGAAAGTAAGCTGCAAGCCTTAAAGCTCGTATTCTAGATAATCTGACTATGCTCTTTGTGACTCGCTACTTGGTTTTTGAAAATAACGACTAATAAATTTTCACTTTGGGGGTTGCACACCAAGAAT